AAAAAAAAAAAAAAAAAAAAAAAAAAAAAAAAAAACAGTAACAATTGTTCCTCTATATTTGAGATTTAAAGGGAAAGCACTTTTTATTCCTATCTTGCTTCGGAGCTGAACTGAGACGTGCCACTGAAAAAGGTGCCTGGGACAGTTTCACACTTCAGTGGTGGCAATGCTGGCATCATGGTATGCCTGGCAGGTTCTTGTGGCTCCTGGTTGAGAGCCACTACCTTAGCCTCTCACTTCCATACCTCACAAGGCTGCTATTAACCTAAAGATGGGGAAATGGAGACGCGGAACACTTATCTATATTAGGAGTGTTTTGCTGCTGTATATACTTTATGTACCCTTTGAGGAGGCATGGCTTATACTGGCAGATCTCTTTATTGGTATGGCACAAACCTATTCCTTTAGGAATAAAGTATGCTAACAAAACCTTTGCATAATATCTAAAATAAGGCTTTAAGCATAGAATTATCTCTTTAGGCATGAGCTTCTCCATTACACTCCTAGCAGGTTTTGCTAGCAAAGCTATTTTCAGTACCTAGTTTAGAATTTTGCTGGCAGAACTCCAATTTTGCTGGTAAAATTTAGCATCTATGCACCAAACTCCTCTGCATTCTTTCAGCTATCAGAACTATTTCCTTGTTGCCAAATAATGTAAAACAAAGCTTCTGCTGTTACCTAAAAGGTTCTTGTAGATACTCCCATGCATCTGGCTGCCTGCTGAAGTCTCTTTAGTAGCGGCTGCCTTCTCAGTCTGTGCACTATGCTCTGGTGGTACAGCTGTTAAGTAAAGATGCCAGAAGTGGGGGTGAATGCATTGTGGAAGATTAGCGTTAGCTGCTGTCTTCTGTATTCAGAACATCTGACTGAGCAGGCTCCTGTTTACAATTGATCACACTTCTTAGTGGTATAAGGTACAGCCCTGCCCTGTCTTTGCTCTGCTGCAAGTCAGACAAGTATAAAAAGGCTCGTGTAGATCAGAACGACTTGCCCAAGGTCACAGATGAATTATGTGATGGGGCTTTCAAGTTCCAGGCCAGTGAGCCAGCCACTAGACCATCTTTCCTTCTGCTTTCCCCCACCTACGTGCAGTATTGGTCAAGAATAGTTCATGCGACTAAACAATAAAGGGGAGCTTATTACAATACTTGTGGACCACCTCTAGAAACAGCACCCCCACTACTCTACATCTTTGCAGTAATTCAAGCGATTAATTAATTAACACTTTAAAAGTAATTTTTCTTTTCTAAGTAGGAATCCCCAGCTTCATTTCCCTCCCCCATTCATTCAGCCTTTTTTCTCTGCCCTCCTATCAAAATCTGTCTCTGTCTCCTCTTCTGACACCTTTTTGCAGAATAGAATGTTGCATGTTAAATTTATGCTGAAGCTGTAATAGAATTTGCATCCAAGTAGTCATGATAACAGTTCATAGATTTCATGGACATTAGGGCTGGAAGGGACATCAGAAGATCATCGAGTCCAACCCGCTGCCCCAGGGGCAGAAACTCAGCTGGGGTCATAGGATCCCAGCAAGATAAGCAT